GAGAGTTCACTCACTCGTCGTCGTCACTGGCTATTATTCACAAGCAAAGCTTCTTCCACCCTCCATTGATGCTTTCCTTTAACTTTGGATTTGTAGAATTTCTTTAATTCTTCTTCTTTCTCTCTGAGATTTCGAAAATATAAAGTAATATTAAAGGAAATTATTAATTATTCATTGACGCGTGTCGTTTACCATATTTGACCTTCTTCTTTGGGTCCACTAGGTGTTGTTATTTCAAGCTTTGTTCTATATAATAAGGATAGTTTCGTCTTATAACGTCATGCTTTTCATTTTCTAATCAAAATCAACGTTTAGTACTTAAATTAAGCCACACGGAACTGATTAAAGTGAAATGTTAACGGTAATTAAACACTTGTTAAATTTTGATTGAAATGTATAGAGATTGGTGACTAATAGTTTTTGTTTTTCATAACAGTTTCTGGAGATTTTAATTGAAAGAAATATAGCTTAACAAAGAATTGAGAGTAGTTTTCAGTTTTCACATTTATAAGAATATATCATAATTGTGGAAAACAAAAGATCATAATTTTTCCAGCATTGGTCACAATCGGACCGTCACAGTCACGCTCGAAGCCAAAGAGTTTGTCCCTTGTTCCAGCGATTTCCTACTTGATTACCGTATCATTTTAAAAAACAAATCATTTTCCATAACAACACATCAGTTTTGTAATGTTGTATTAATAAAATAATGATGGGTCTATGTAATTTTCCAATAAGGAAATTAAAAATACAGCTAATGAATTATTATTAGTCCTTTTGAAGTGGACAAAACCTGCAAATCTTAGCTTGTGCCTCAACACAAATAGTAATGAGAACCACATGATCTCCAACACATAACCACATTGTCACAAAAGAGGTTTTCATGTGCTATCAACATCAATCATTTTCTTCTAACAAAGCCAAATTCACATTAAAACCAAAGAAAAAAAAGAATAATTTTACATAAAGAGCATCCCACACAACTGCAATATCAATATGCTAAGACTGTGGTATATAATATATATGAAACAGCTAAAGAGATACCTATGATCTCTCACCTGAATCAATCATAGGCAGTGGAAGAAGAGTGTTTCTCTGCGCCAGGTGGCGGTGCGGGTCTCGGGAAGTAATAGTTGTATTGCTGATCGCCGAGGTTTGGTTCTTCCATGTAGGGGCTTTTTGGTTCCTACGGTTTTTCAACAAGAAAACAGTTCATAATGCATTCGAGAAGAATGAAGTTTTAAGAGACTATGACTGAACCAAAGTGTTTTCTAAGCATAAATGTTGTGTATCTCACACAAGTCAAGCTAAAGGACGCATTCTCCATTGTTGAAGATGGTGAGAGATTAGTTTTGTGACAAGCAAAAGGTTTTATGTCGAAAGATACCTGAGGACCAGATGTAGAGTGAGACGCTTCATCGAATTTTGGTGATGTAGAGGCATCGTCGTCGTGGTTCTTTTCATTTCCGTTTAGTTTTTGAGGCTCTGCTGAAGGATCAATCTCACTAGCTGTTTTAGCTCTCTGTATGATTGAAAAGTTTAAAATACTTTAATCGGTCTTTTCTTCATCATTTACAAATCACATCTGAACATGAGTATGAAATTAACCTGGAAGATCTTCCCCAGAGTTTTTAACCCTCGAGCTCTTGCACGAAGCTCCTCTCTTTTGGCTTCAGGATCTTGAAGAACCTAGACAACAGGAACCATACATACGTTAATAACCTGAATCGTAGAACCAAGACGCCAGATAGGGAACATAAGTATTGGTTAAGCTAGACAACCAGCTGACAAACACGGCAAAGAGTGGCTTCGATATCAGCAACGTTGAGCTTCCACAGTGAATCTATCATCACTCTTTTATGTGTCTGCAAATATTCCTCAAGTTCCTCTTCGGTATAATTTCCTTCAGTACTTAGCTGCCTTTTCATTTCCTCCTGCAGTTGGAACAAAGCGAATGCGCCTAGGATGACAGAAAATAGCCAGGAAAAGAAAACAAAGTCATTCAATGTGTTGCCTCCTAAGAGTGGACCAGAGTCTAGAAATCGAACAAGAAAGTTCTTCATTTACTTTCTCCTTTTGCAACCCACACCGCAAATTCCAGCATAGACATGAATTTGATGAAGTAACCTTTGTTCCTAAGCCACTAACCTGTTGCAGCTGTTACTTGGGATTTGATGAAGTGACCTTTGTTCCTAAACCATTCAGCAATGAATGGTACACCGAGATAAATAGCTTTCTTCCCAAGCTCTTTTGCCGCTTGTCTTACATATATATACCCAATTGTGTTCAACATATCCACACCATATGCTACAGAATAGAAGGTGGTAAAACTACTTTTAGCACCGACGGTATTGATTAAAATAGAAACCTGAACGACGAAACAGGGAACACTACACTGAATATATTACCTGCATTTGAGAGTCTTGCTACTTCAGCTTCAGCGTTACTGCTAAATTCGTCTTTGTTTACTACATATTCATGGAGGCGGTCTTTGAGAATCTGAGCTAGCTTATCTTCTCTTTCTTTCTGGACAGTCTGAAGCCAAACACAATCCACACTCTTAGCAAATTTTGTACAAGGAAGACTTGGCTTGAGCAGGGGACATGTTTAAAACCCGAACTTACCCTCATTTTTTCTTGTATCTTTTTAGTATCAATCTGATCCCCTTCAGTGAAGATATCAAGTGAAGCCATCGACGCCATAGCAAGCTGTCCTATGTATCCTTCGAAAAGTTCGCTACCAAAAAGCATTGCAAATATAGCCGCAGGATCTATGATTGCATCACTGGAAGAATCAATAACAAAACAAGTAAGCACCGAAGAAAAGGACACAACAATTTTGCACCGAGAAGATCCACAAGAAAAAAAAAAGAGACTAACGTTGAGATCCCTGACTTCCCACATGCATCATAAGCTTGGCGTTGCGCTGAATCACTTAACACTTGATAAGCCTCTCCCAACACCTGAATAAGAAGAACAAAGAGATAAACCTAAAATCAAAACAAAAGCATCTTGCAGGAAAACTTGGTACTCATGATTATTCCAGATAGCATCGTCAATGTTACAAATTTACAATACACAAAGCTTATAACCAAGTAAGGTTTCACAATCTGATTCCAGCAATGGAAATTTGTTACATAACTCTTTTCTCTTTCAAATTTGAACTTGCCTGAAAATTATGTGCCGCTTGAGGATCATTGGGGTTTTTATCTGGATGAACTTGTCGAGCCTGTATATATAAAAAGCCAACAAAATCACTATACTGTAAAACATATTGTCCACTACACAAATTGAGCAGATTACAAAGCTATGATCTCACTCCAGAGACTAGTTCTCAACTCATGAGCACTCGAATCGTCACTCCCCAAATTCAAAATCTCAAAGTCTCTTCACCGAATTTTGAACAATCAAACATACGAAACTAGAAACCGTGAAACCAAAAGATTCGATACTGAAAAATGATAAAGGTAACCTTGATGTAGTAAGCTTTCTTGATCTCAGCTTCCGTAGCTGTAGGGCTAACGCCGAGCACATCGTAGTATTCCGTTTCCTTCACCATTTTAATCAGTCACAAATCAAAAATTCAACACCGAATCTCACTAAAACACTCAGATCGCCGGAGATTGCACCACCAAATCTCTTCTCTTCTCTTCTCTTGACTAGTCCGACGAAAACACTCCAAGCGCCGGCGACGGACTTCGAAAATCAACCGGAGCTTTTGTTTGCTCTTTCTATTTTACTTTTTTTGTTTATTCGCTTTCGCTAGGTCGAGTCAAAGAAGAAGAAAAAGTCATTTACTTTTCTTCAAGGTAAATTTGAATTATCAATAAAGGACATTTATATATTCTTCTCCACGCGGTTTTTCGTCAGCCTTTGATTGGATCTTTCCTTTTTTTTTCCTCATGTCGACCAAAATAATGGAATCAATGATATAAATCACTACCAATAAATACTTATTTGGAAAATTTCAATGAATTTGCACGGAAATTAAACACTTTTTTGGATACAATTCTATAATCATTAGTCAAAAGCATTAACCTTCCGAATCAATTAGCGGTTCTCAATAGCTCATTAGGCTTCTTCCATGATCTTACTCTGGTCATCATTTCCTTTTTCCACAGGTTTGTTCTTTGAGTCCTGTGGTTTGATCGGAGTGCAAGCGATGTTCTTTATTACAGAAGAGTAAAGATCAAACTCTGACTTGAGCTTATAACAGCTTGCGTGTATCCATTTCTCCGCTACGCTTGTTGCTACACTGTCTTGGCTATCTCTCTCATGTTCTTCAATCGCTGGCCGAATCTCATCGTACAAGGACGTGAGACGTACTGCTGCTTCCTTCTTCACTTCCTGCAACAATTTGCCAACACACATTTTCGAGCGAAAAAGAATAAGCTTTACTGTGGTTTGAGTCTATCCAAACATTGTGAGCAGAAGAACTTTTTACCTCATATTTGAGGATTTCATCTTGAGCTTCTTTGCTTGCGAGTCTCTGAACCACATTCGCTATGTCAACCTGCTTCTGAGCGACATTCTTTGTCTTTCCGCTTGAAAGCGGCCTTCCTCTTTTCTTTGGAACAGGCTCGGACTTAATCTTGATACTGTTACCGCGAACGCGTGATACAATTGCGGTTTTCTGAGATAAATCTTCTTGTGAATCTTGTGAGAGCAGCTTCATATCTTCAGCTGTTTCGGTTTTTACAGTTTCCGTGACAATATCTACCTCCATAGGAGTTGAATCCGATTGCTGAACAATCAGAGCAGTAGACTCCACATGATTCTCTGTTGAAATATCTTTCTCTTCATTTGTGTTGGACTCGACGTTCTTAGAGGGCTCAGAAGTAAGCTCGTTCTTAGAGGGCTCAGAAGTAAGCTCGTCTTCTGCAGAATCATAGACCGGAATTTTATCGACTGAATACCTGGAGACAAAAGAAAAGAGAGGGGCTAAAATATTGCCAGTCCAAGATCAGAAATCCATTCTCACTAATGCTGAGACCAACTAGTGATCATAAATAAGTGAAGATAAATTACCGATCATCTCCGTCCTCCCATACATACGTATCCTCCTGAAATGGTAGAAACGCATAAGAATATGCATAGACCATTTAGAAAAAAATAGTACTAGAAATGATATCGTAAGGACTTGCCTGAAAGCCACGAGACTTGGCTCCAAGAAAACCAGAACAAGCAACTGCGCCACAGAGACAACGGACTTTGGCACCACCGTACCACTCAAAATTATAGTCATAAGCCAATTCTGTCCGGGGAGAGATGGTCTCTTTTGCAAAGATCCCAACCCTCACTTCACCCAGAACATTCCACTTCCTCGTCTCACAATTTGGTTTACTGCAAGGCAATAGAGCAAGACAATAATAAGGACAGTTCTCTAGTTATGGATTTCTTTGAAGTATCTAAGGGCCAGTTGTTTGTATTACCATGAATGATTTATAAACCTAGCAAGGCTTCCCTTCTTAGTGGCATCGATAGCTTCAGACGCATTGAGTGATATTATGTATGCATCCTTGACACCTAGCCATGTAACACACAATTCATACATGAACAAGACCATTACAACAATTTCATCATCTCTGTAAAGTGACTACTTACCATGAGTTTCGTAAGTTTGAGCCCTACGCTTTGCTTCTTTCCATGATATTACTTCACCACAGTACTCAATGATGAACTGTCCCTCCTGAACCATAACATCGAATACAACCAGTCATTTCTTCAAAACTGATTGAATCTTCACTTCAGAAATGATAAGACACAAGAATAAATAAAATCGAGTCCTCACCTTTATTTCTTCGACAGCCACTAGTCCCCAACCACGACCTTCGGACTTAATCAACTTTGTTTTCGCGTATTCACATTTTTGAAATTTCTGTAATCAGAGCAAACATGTAAACTACTAAGTAACATACACTTAATTGGACGGGAACTTCTAAGTATCCCACAAAGCTTTCAGGGAATCACAGAACATAGAAGCAAACGTTTAAACCCGTAAACCTGATTCTTGCAATAGACACCACAAGGGCAATATCCAGGTGTACATTCTGTGTTCGTTATCACATTCAAACATCTCTCACCACAAGCACTATCAGGATCTCCGAAATCGAACTTGCATTCACAGATTGAAATATCTTCTTCCTTCTGTTTCTTATGCCTAGAGACAGTAAAACAACATGTGTACTTAAACAACAATGGGAAGGTTCCTTTGAGCCAAATGCATAAGAAAACTGAAGGGTGTCAAAGTAAACAGTAAAGAAAGGCTCTTACTTTCGATATGAGAAGTCATTTTGATAGATGTGTTCATATTGTGGCAAGTCATCTCCTTCTTGATCCTTCAAAACAAAATCAATCATATGTTTCAATTAGCTAAATTCGATGTATAAAGCTACAAACCCAAATCGAAATCTCACCCATTTTCACTTACAGGATCACAAGAAAATTGCATTTTTCTTTTCGATTGAATCGATTTTTTTCTCGGACTCAGGGCCGGTTATTACGATTGAATCCCTGGGATTAGGTTTATCAATCTCTGGGATTTAAAGAACAAATTTTTGGTAAAGGAAGAAACTTGCGTATAGAAATGAAGACACAGGAAACACATTTGTTTGAAAAGCACAATATTGGATATTTGGTCTAAGAGGAAAACTGAAGAAGCTTACCTGAGAGTTTGAGAGAAAGAGAACGCGACGACAAGAGAGAGGAAGAACGAACAGACGGCGTTTAAGTTTTTGTTTAAACGGCGTTAATGTTTTAGTAAACGAACAGACGGCGTTAATTAGCAATCAAGCTTAATTTTAAAAGAAAAACTGTAGTAACTTTAAAGAGAAATTTTTTTCAAAAAAAAATTATTTTAGATTAATTATGTTGTATGCAAATTTTGTTTTGAGAGTTTAAGGGGTTTTAGGAGTCAAAACATTTTTTATGGTTTATAATTTTAAGATTTAGGCTTTAAAAGTTCATAACTAGTGGCATTTTTACAAGTGGACACTTCTAAATGGACTTTCTTACAAATGTACACACCAAAAATAACATTTTTGCAATTGCCTCCTCCAACTTTAAAACACAACACAAATGTTTTTAAAATCACATATCTTCTCAGTAACAAATTAATGATTTTACGTTTCTAACTTAAATTAGAGTCAAACATACAGTATAAGTTTTTTAAAAAATTTATCAAAGGTACATATATAAATTAGTTATTTTTGTATAGTTTTTATTAAACTCTATGAGAATTGTCACAATCTGTTTGATTATTGCATATACTTATACATATGTTATGACCTAATTAATTAATAATAGATACATATAAAACACATATCACAAACTATATAAATGGTTACATTAGATACATTAAACACATGATGTTTTTGATTAATATCATATATATTTGAAACTCATGTTAAGATATACTTATTAAATTAAAGTTTCAAAAAAAAGATAGATTTATTTATAAAAGACACTATATTTATATATTGTTATGGTAGTACATCCAAAGTCTATAAGTAT